AAACAATTGTTCCCTGGACGTTTGATGTCAAAAAATGGTGATTTTGAATGGCCACCGCGTTCACCAGATTTAACGGCTCCAGACTTCTTTCTGTGGGGCTATTTGAAATCAAAGGTTTATGTCAACAAGCCAAGGACCCTAGACGAACTTAAGACCAACATCCGACAGGAAATAGCCGCCATATCGGCCGAAACATTGTTCAAAACGATGGAAAACGCTGCAAAACGGGCACTACTCGCCATGCAGGCTCAAGGCGATCATTTAAGAGATATCATATTCAACAAATAATGTACACAAATCTCCTTGAACCATATTAAATGGCTTTTACAATGAAAAGCAAAAAATGTGTTTTTTTTCCCATGATTAAGAAAAAAACATCTTTCCGTCGAATATGGCCAACCCTGTATGTCAGAGTCAAGGTCATCGGCACGATGTCTCTTAAAGTGCATAATTACCTAATTTCTTAGTGATTAAACAAGGATAAATGGTCTTGCACAACACATGAACGTCCATTGATCATCCAAAGAATGCTCTGAATCTCCGGATGGTCGCCCATTTTATGCTTCAAATAGCAGTGGCGGATCCACGAAGACCATGGTTCCTCCCCTTAGTTTTTTTTTAAGTATAGATTCTATACCATAGTATACTTTTAATATTTCTAAAATACTTAATTAAAATTTTGACATTTTAAAAATATTTTTTATTTTATGAATTGTTTAAGCATAAAAAATAGATTCTTTTTTATTGTATATTCCAAAATGTAAATAAATGAAGTCTGTGTTACAACTTTTATTTTTCGTCCATTCGCCCTGGGTGAACAAAGTTCAATATTGGTGCTACCATTATGTAGACACAAGTTACGTGGCACCAAAGGCATAGAGCGCGTTCAAGTCAACAAAGCGGCTAGATCTGCTTGACAAGCATGCCTAGCCGCTTTGCTATCTTGAACTCGCTCATAAAGAATGGACTGCGCGATCCGTACCTAAGTAGTATTTAAATATAGTCGACAATAATGAGAGAAAGGAACTATAGGATACGGTCAATCATTCTCTTATTCTCTCTTCCAACACCGTTGAATGAAAAGAGATAGAGATGGCCGTCCATGGTCCCTTTCATCTACTTTTATCGACCATTTCGACACACGGATCGTGCAGTCCATTCTCTACGTCTTTGTGTAACACCAATTACGCGAAATTCTCGAATAGTAGGTATAAAGAGTGAGAAGTCGCCATTTTGTGTCTTATATCTATAACAATTTATTATCTTAATCTCTTCTTTCTTTAACGTTGTCTTCTTTCTAATTAATAGTAAGGATCTTTCATGATGGAGCCAAGTGTTAGACATTGACGCCACTCTCTTTATACCCACTCTAGTTAAAGTCTATGTATAGGGACTCAATAAACTTATTCTTTTTGGCTGAACTTTTGCGCCAGTTCATCTTCCTTCCTTTTCTCCTCAGGAGAAAAGAAGAAGAAGAAAGATGAATTAGTGCAAAAGTTCAGTCTTAATGATCGCGTTCAGCAGACTCAGCTATTGCGGAGCGGATTTGTGAGCGCTCGCTGCTATTGATGTATTCTTCTAGATCATCCAATAGCAACAAGCAC